TGGTTGTTGTTTTTATGGTGCACTTATTCTTTCTTAGTGCCTTGTTCCTGCTTGGGAAGGAATCAGATTTGTTAATTAGTTGCGGGTAGTTACGTCCACGACATGGTTGTACTCATGTATACTACCCACGGGACAAAAGAACTAAAACCCACCAAAGAAACAAGACAACAACCAACCAACCAACCAACCAAACAAACAAACCAAGAAAACCAAACAAACCAACAACCAAATCATAGGAAACACCTACAAAACACCCGTTCTCCAGACCGGCGGTATTCAAGTTTTTAAATGTTATTCATTTATCACTTCTTTTTTTTTCCGTGGTGGCTGACACTGACACATGTTGCCGGCGAGTTGAAATGTTTGAAAGGGGTTTGAGTCTGTTTTTAACAGCTTGGCTTTTATGGCAGTTGAATGAAGATGTCTGCTCAACGTGAACGAGTGTGCAGAACACATGACACGTTGGTGTATAGTAGAGACAATTCAAGCGTTGTTTTGTAGAATAACTTACGCCGGTTTCAGGCATGAAGGAATTAGATTAGTCAGGTCCTGGTTAGTGGAGTAGTTAAACCGATCCTTGTAGGACTATATCCTTGTAGGAATATAAGTACAGGCGCTGGTCGGTAATTAAGTTAGACACGCAGTTATTACACGTACGCTATCGTGTTTGTTCTGAAATGCTGTCGTTGGTTGTAGTATAGAAATGTTTTTTTTTTTTTTTTTTTTTTTGTCGCATGTCCCTTTTTTCGGATGCCGTGATAATGATCTCATTCGTATCAGGCAATCATTGGCTAGAAATTGTGAGTGAATAGGTACCGTGATATTTCCAAATTAGAATGGATCTATATCGTGTTCTTTTTTTTTTTTTTACCCAGTGTCGATTTGTCGTCACGGTTTGCTCGGTCGTTAAATATGAGATTCCATTCAAAGTGTTCTGACTTTTTCTGCAGATTGTCAAGCTCCGGTGGCGAGACGGAAGATCAGCGTGCCAGGAATCAGAGAGATTGAGGTTCGGTTCTGTCATCTCTGATTGGTGGATTTTGATCGGCCGACTCGCAGCACGTCCGGTTTCGGGTTGACCGAGACAATTTTCCAGGACCTGTCTCGTTTCTGAGGACCGTCATACCGGAGTGTGCTGTGAGAGAAAGACAGAGGGAGACAGACAGAGAGGGAACACAGAGAGAGAGAGAGGGAGGAAGGAGTGGAACAAACAGAAAGATTCGTTGACAGAAAGAGAGAAAGGGGAAAAGAGGTGTTGAGAGAAAGACAAGAAAGAGAGATACACTGAAAGAAGACAAAGAGTCTGGAAAGAGAGGGATACAGAGAGAGAGAGAAGGCAGGGAAACAGAAATCAAAGAAGTGAAGGGGAACGAGAGGGATACCGAGCGAGACAGAAAGAGAGAAGGCGTGGAGATCATCGGAAAGAGACAGACGGAGGAAAGGAAGTAAAAAGACAGGCCAGCTGTGACGTACCAGACATTAACGCCAGATGGACAACAAGTTCTCGTAAGTTCCCGTAGAGATCATGAATCTAGGTCCCACTCATTGATTTTTTCTTGTTCTCTTTATTTGAATCTCCTTGTTTGTGTCTGTTTGTCTCTTTCTCTCTCTCTCTCTCTCTCTCTCTCTCTCTCTCTCTCTCTCTCTCTTTCTCTCTCTCTCTCTCTCTCACTCACTCACTCACTCTACAAACCCAGTTTCCCGCTCTTTACATTTTC